TTCACCATGAACAGCAATTCATACAATTTTTTGCTTATTTCTCTGTGACATAGGAGTTTGTGAACTCATTTTCCTCTTACAATGAGATTCTGCCTCTTTTTGCTGTTCTGGTGGGGTTCCTGGAACTGCTCAGGAAAACAGATTCTTGTCCCATATTTCTAAAAGCATTAACTGAAACAAAGAAAAGACAATCTGAAGCTTTTTGTCCATCCTAGTTATGGGTATCCCCTTCACTCTTAAAATGAAATAAAAGTTTTAGGATCACATACTAATTGTGACTCTGGGCCTTGATTTTGCAGCTCCATCCCAAAGCAGAAGTGTAGATGGCATTCTATTGCTTTCATGACTTCTAATTGGTGTTTATGTCCTGACTTTTTGATGCAAAAATATTTCTATTCCTGTTTTGTTTTGATAGGTGAAGACAGCTGAGATCACAAGCCACCACTGAAATCAGTGGGAGGCTTTTTCCTGCTTTCAGATGGTCTTTATTCATGAAGAGGAAAATAAACATTTGTAGGGGAAATTTGTCTTCATTTCTACATAGAGCTCAAATGTGTCTAAAAGTTATCTGACGTAGGTCTCTCCATGCTCACCTCCTGTCACAGCAGATGCTCCTCCAGTCCTATGGAGTTGTGAATCAAGAAAATGTTCTGTTATTTCCAGATTTGCTTTTTTTGATGTAGGATAAAGCACTTTACAAATCCTCCTCAGGGAAAAGGAAAATGCATAGAGAAAGGCATGTGCAGCCAGATTCCTGCATGTTACCTGTTTGTTGAACAAATGGTCCCTGGGCCAACATGAGCATTTGTTGATTGTTTTGCTGGAGAAGACAAATGTGCAAATGTGCTTTTAAACACTCCTGGCTTGATACAGATTGATGTCACTGCAAATTATTTTCATTCCAGATGAAGTTTCAGTAATATCAAGAAATATTTGCTGTGCCACTTGGGAAAAAAGGTACAGAAAAGGTCATGGGCTGTAAGCAAGATATAAAAGCAGATGGGCATCCTTAATATCTGAATTAGAGGGAGAAAT